CTTTTGGCAAAGAAGTTACTTAGAAACATACAATAAAATGATGTAACCATGATAAGATAAGTAATATAGATAAGGAGATAGAATAAGGCTTTTATAGGAAAAAAAACGCGTTGAAACGCAAACTTTTACAAAAAGTTTTTTCATGGGATGTAAGCATCAAAGTTGACACTTACATAGATTGAAGGAGGGAACTTTCTTCCTATCAATTGGGCATATTTCAAATCAAGATCCAATGAGAAATGACTTCAGAATATCTTTTTTTTTAAATCTACAAAGAATTCACCTAATTTATCAGTTGTTCTTATCAAGAGTTATTCGAAAAATAGTCAGAATCATTGCTCTTTGACAACAAGAATAGTATTATTTGTAGGGAAGATATCGGGTTAACGAGTCTGCTGCTAGGCAGAACTCTGTACTGAAAGATAGTGATCCACCAGATTTATATTATGTACTGATGACAATATTCCGACTTTTGCATAAACCTTTTGATCCAATCGCGTGTTCATATCATGTGACCATGATGTAATGCAAATATCTCATAAGATGTATACTTCAGTTAGATAATTAATTCATTTTTATTCAATACAATGTCTCAATAAAACACACACTAAAAAACACACAAATCATAGCGAGATTATATATCTGAATTAAAGTTTGTTTTTTATTGTTGATTTTATTAATGTGTAGCTTTTTGTTTATTAATTTCTTTCGAAGCAGCATGACTAGTTGGGAAGGTAACGATTCGTAACGGTTGGTTACGAAAGCCCAGTAAGGAGCAGGGCTTTCGTAACAATGTAAAATGCATAAATCATAAAAAGCAGGGCTTTCGTATCGATTTTTGACAGGGCTTTCGTATCGTTTTAGACAGAGCTTTCGAATCATTTCTTAAAGAGCTTTCCTATCAAGTTTACAGGGCCTTCGTAACAATTTTGACAGGGTCTTCGTATCGGTCTTACAGGATCTTCGTACCGTTCTTACAGGGCTATCGTAACGTAAAAGGATTTGGTATGATCTTTCGTCAGATGTTGCTGACAGGATTTCATATTGAAATTAGTGATCTACCAAAATTATAACATAAATAGTTCAACAGTAGAAAGTGAGAACCAGAATATAAGTATAGACAAATTTTTATCTTCTTGTAAATCTCTTTCTTAGTAACAACAAAAAGTAACAAAAACCAGGCAATATATAAAGAGAGAAGAGTGAACGAGAACAATATCAAGATAATAGAATTAAGAATACACATAATTGATTTCCTCGATTTTAAGTCAGCAACTTTAACAAAAAAAAGGCGTACACAATTCTGGAAAAACATAGAGAACTAGAAATAACAACGACATCTATGAATGTATACAAATAATTCATTCACAGTATAGTACCATGTATTTGGACCATTTAAGTATATAAAACTTGTTACGAATGGATCCCACTTAATGACTTACGCGATATTTGTAAGCATGGGTATTCGTAACGAATGCCCTGTTCTTTTTAGTACCAGTCTTTCATTTTAGTTATGAATGCAATAAGAACTTGATTACGAAAGCCCTGTCAAAAACGATACGAAAGCCCTGTATAAGTTTGATACGAAAGCCCTGTCAAAAATTGATACGAAAGCCTTGTCAGAATTTGTTACGAAAGCCCTGTCAGAATTCGTTACGAAAGCCCTGTAGTAAAAACGATGACAGGGCTTTCGTATTACGAAAGCCCTGTAAATTTCTCGTTACGAATCGTTACACCCCCGACTAGTTTCATCAACTTTATCTTTACAATAATCGATACCAGCATCAATACATTCGCCAACAGTATTGCTAGAATCTTTTGCTTTATCTTTGTTACATTCTGCTGATGATTTACTCATCATTTTCTAAACTAAAATAAACAAAAATTATAAAACAAAAAAAAAAACATTTCATTTTAATGATTTTACATTTCATTTGGACAATTAACTGGTTGACTCATACGATTACCATCTCGTAAATAATCAAACATATTTTCTGCAGCTATAGATGTATATGGTGTACCACCATATGTCATTATTTCCCATGTTAATATAGAATATGACCATACATTACTTTTTGTTGAAAATTTTCTATCAAATAATGCTTCTGGACTCATCCATTTAACTGGTACATGATCCTAGAAATAGTGAAACAAATTCTCTTACAAAAAGCAAAACAAAATTATTCATATTCAAATCTTGAAAATTTTACATCGGTTTGTTTTCAATAATAATATGTTTGTGTTAAATCTCTTGCAAATCCAAAATCTGCTGTTTTACATATACGATTTTCTGCTAATAAAACATTTCGAGCAGCAAGATCACGATGAATACACTAGATGAAAAACAAAAAAAGGAAAATTTAGTTAATCTATTGTTTCTCTTTTTTAATGTTTACTTTTTTTAAATGTAAATATTTCATTCCAGATGCAACTTGTAAACAAAATAAAATTAAATCAATTGTTGTTAATGAACATATATAATCAATAACAGTAATTATAGTTTCTTGTTCATAATTATCCGTATCTGAAGGACTTTCATATAAACCCGATAGAGCATGAGCAGGTGGACGTTTACGACGTAAATAATCACGTAAATTACCATATTTAGCATATTCAACAATTAATATAACTTGACCTAACCAAGATTTATAATTAACCTATAGAAAGTTATTGAAAAAAACCATTTTACCTCCTTTTGCATAACAACCAAGAAATGATATAATATTAACATGTTTACCAACCATTTTCATTACTGATAATTCTTTAAGTAAATTTTCAACTTCTTCTGGTGTTGCATCATCTAAAATATAAGTCTTTGTGAAATACGATCTAAAGGAAGTGTTGAAGTATAGGCGTAGAAATTTCTGTCGCCTCTTTCTGGTGCCTCTGAAGAACGGCTCATCAGTAACATTTGAAATTTTCAGGATACATAGATCTTGATGAGTAGAGCAAAAATTGTCATAGTCACCAAATTTCTAAATACTTCCTTCTAGGAAATATCTAGATCGTAAAGGCTAAAGATCGCCCTGCTTTCTCCTTTTCTTTTTTTAGTATTTTTTTATCTCTTTCTATTCGAATAAAAAGATCAAACGGTGCCATACTTTTCAAAACAAAAAAGCCCTAGGCATTTCAAACAATGTCTCATACCTGTAAAAAAAGTTTCAGTTCGATCAAAAGTACTATATCGAAGAATCGAAGGTGATTCTGCACTATTTTTTTTGTGTAAAAATTGATTTTGAGAAAAACAGAAAATAAATTTTCTTGTATATATTAGAACTTTTTTCTTCAACTAAAGTGATCGAAAACTGATGGTATTAGATGTCCATGACCGATGTTCTCAACACCTTTAGAAATTATCATTAGAAGAGCTTGGCACATAAAGAATAATCACAGCGCGGGTTTTTTTGCTAGAGATTTCGAAAGTTTGATTTAATGGAAGTATTAACTAACAATGAAGAGCACTCATTTATATGGCATTTGACAGAGGCCACTTTGAAGCTATACCAAAAAATTTAAAAATTACTGATTTTCACATCCGAAAATGAGAAGATCTCTTAACAACGTCCTCTATCCCTTTTCCGCGTCACAAGTGTTGTTGCTATACAATCGAAGACTATATGAACTACTTTTTTATTGTATTTCTAAAGGATTAATCAAAAGGATAGTGGAGAAATGTGTCCCATAATTGAATAAAACGATGTCTCTATAATTACAACATCATGTTTTACATTTTAGTTCCGTAGGTAATGCGCTAACAGTTTTTCTATCTTAATAAATTAATATATTTTCAGATTTTTCGAAAAGTTTAATGCGCGTGGATCTTCTTGTTCTCCAACGAGAAAAAAATCGGCTCGTAAAATGAGATAACGGATTAAGACGAAATACTGTAAAATTCAGTATAATAACACGCTGTTTTCGATATAAAAACTAGCCTCAAACTGTTTTGATTGCTACTGTTGTTACTTTTTCTTTTGAATTAAAACCCATTGCTACACCTTGATATACAAAACCAAATGCTCCTTTTCCAATTAAATGACCAACTGCAAGACTATGAAAAATAAAAAAAAAACATTAAATCTATTTCTTAGATAAAAGTTCTTTTTTTTTACTTTTCTCGAGAAAATTCACATTGATCATCATAATATGATGAAATAATTGTTGATATTGTTCCTTCAGTTTGAAAATTATGACAATTATCTTCAATTAAAAGTTTTTTTTATTTTTGGATCAATATCACTTCGATATAATTGATTCTTTTCATCATCAAAAAATAAATATTCGATTAATTTAAATATAATAATAAAATAAATAATTTCAACTTACATTTTTTAAATTACTAATACCTCTTGTAGCTAATATACGTGTTGCTAATAATGTTTGTTGTAAACTTTTTTCATTACGAAAATGATAAATAAGAAAAAAAATACATGCAAAAAGTGATATTCCAATAATACAATCAATTAATATTATTAATTCATCAGATAATCGACTTGATATATAATGTCGTTTACTTGTTGAAATATTTTGTAATAATAAAGGTCTTTCAGAATCTTTAAAAAGCAAAAAAATATTTTATTAACAAAAAAAAAATGAAACAACAAATAAATTTATTTACCAGGTAAAACAGTAAATTGATGAATTAAATCATTAAAACCATATTCATTTAAAACACGACATAAATAAACACCTGTATCATTTTGTTGTAAACGTTTAATAGTCAATAATTCAACTTCATCTTCAGACATTGTATGTGGATTAGATTCCTAAAATAAATATAAAAAATAAAGTTTTATACAAATTCAAATAAAATCTATACTTTCATTCCAAAAAAAAACACAAATCATCAAGCAAATTCATACATATATATATATATAATCATCATGATCGAATTATATATACTTATGTTTACTATACATATATTAACGAAATAAATAAAAATTCAATAGTTTTAGCAAGCAGAAAACAAAAATCATAAACAAATAATAGTCTCAAATAAAAACCAAACAATACGAATACGATAGCTTTTGAAAAACAAAAATTCTCATTTTTATATTTGATTTTAATGATAGCATACAATAGATATTATCAAATAATAATAGAAAAATTCAAAAGCACATAGCAAAAAACAATAATAGAATTGCTAATTTTTATATTTCTTGTTAACTGTCGTTTTCCTAGACTAAATCTTGATCCATTAGAAAACTATACATAGACAGATGTTTTCTTTTTTCTTCTTTTGTTCGATATTTTTATTTATATCTTATTTTTAATATAAAATCTCAATTACTTTGAGGAATATTTTTTATTGACTTTCGTTGAACAAACCATTGAACAAATGGACTTGAATCTGAATAAAATAAACATTCAAATGTTACATTATCACCTTCATATCGTGTTACATTTTGTTATTTAGATATAAATACTGGTCGATCGAGACTATGTCCTTGTACCATTAATTGAAATGATCGACTAATTTTTCCTAAACTATTTTCAATAATACATGTATACATTCCTGCTTCATACATTGTTATTTTAGAAATATTTAAATATATATTATCAACTGAAAACTAAAGATAAAAGCAAAAAAACGAAATAGAATTTATTTTAATGAATTCGTTTTTTCTTTACCAATTCATATAATTCTGGTGAAAATACTTGTTCATCTTTAAACCATGTTAGTTTTGCTTTTGGTTTAGCATTATATGGACATTTCAATGAAACAAGTGCTGATGTTGGATAAACTAATGTTTATTTTTGTTGTAAAATAGGTTCAGTGCAATATGGTGAACATTGATTTGTACAATCAATTGTTTGTAATAAATTAACATGTACTAATGTCCGTTTCAAAATATAAGAGCCGTGACCATTTTTTCAATAACTTTTGATAGGAACAAGATAGAGTGGTGCGGTTTTCGCCATTAGAAAGAGAAGACTTAGGCGCATCAATCCATGCTAAAATATGATTGGTTAACAATGGACCAATCAGGAGCAATCTCAGTGAAGATGTTGAACACCAGTGTCTGGAGAAATTTTTCAATTTAACTCGATTCTTCAATTTATATAGTGATAGAAAAAATTGTTCTCTTTCGATCTACGAAAGGCCGACCTTTCTAGCTTGTTCCGTTCAAGAGTTATAAGCGTTTTCCTGAGACCCCTGATTTCAGCCAATTGACCTCGGATCAAGCAGAAAACCATCTAGGATGGGGTAATTCATCATG